GTGAAGAATTGTCAATTTTCACTTCACATACTTCCGAAAGTCTCTCGATAAACACCTTAGCACTTCGATATATCGCCAGCTCCAGGTCACGACCTTTCCGACTTCCCGCCAACTCGATTTTATACTTCCTTTTTACATTAACTCTTCGATGGAACCCATCAAAAGCCGCGCCGAAAACGCATCGTCATGGCGGTCGTCGTCTTTGTACGCTTGCCATCAACCGTTAGACTAAATCGCGCACAGTGGGCGTGATTGGTTTAACCGTTGGTGGTAAACGCACAAAAACGACGAGCGCCATGACTATGCACTTTTCGGCGCTGTTTGATGGGCTCCACCATTCCGAAACGGAGTCCGGACCTATGGCTCTGAGACTTTATTACACACAACTTACCCCTCTACTCTACTCCATTTGATATCCAGCCAAGGCGCAGCCGAACGATACGAGCGGGCGCGACCAACCGAGCCATGCGCCAAAATTGCGACCGCGGGAAGTCGACTGCCTTCGTGCGCGCGTGTCGTCGCCGGCTAATCCAGTCAGGTGCCAAGATGGCGGCGTGACTCTACGCTTTTAGCCTACGTGTGTAACCGTCCGCGTCTCTTCTAGCCTACACTGCGCTCGGACGTAGGATAAAACGAGGGCCCCGAACGCATATGTAGTCCAACGTCAAAAACGCCCTGCTCTCGAGGTATACTCCTCCCCACGCGCCCGAAGCAGATGTCCCTTCTGTACGGGTAGACATTGAGGGAGAGGAGGAGACTAGAGTGCACGGGAACGTCAGAACACCGAGCTGATTAGAGGGGGTAGACGCGAATCTAGCTGCCTTTGTCCCTACTTACTCTTCGAACGCGTTCGGAGATCGAGTAGACAAAGGCTTCGCGTCTATCTCCGCCGCGCTCTCGTCTCCTCCTCTCCCTCAATGTCCACTCGTATAGTCTCAGACGGCTTAAGAAACGCTGGGAGTGACGAGGTCTGAGAATCTCATTATCGCACCTCGGCCAATCAGACTGCAACATCATGTGATGCCGAAAAACGTACAACGAAGCTTGACATGTATTGAACGTCGCCCTGCGTTCCTTAAGCGATTAGCGAACGTAGCATGTTTACTGCAGCAGTCTTTTATCCGAGCGTGTGGAGATCGATCAGGTTCCACAATCGGTTTGGCGCGCCACATACAAGTGTATGGGAACCAAGCGGGTGTCGTTACCTTTCTATTACTTTGGAGTCTTCAGAACCATAAGAACTCATTTAGATTTACTCATTGTTCATAGACTTCCAAATGTCGATGAACACAGTTTCAAGACTGCATTCGCATTCCTTTTAGTAGACACTCTGTCTCCCCCCCCCCCCCCCCCTCCCCCGGCCCTCAAGATAGTTTGGCAAGCACTGGTTTAGCCGATGCCCTAATTGTGATGAGCAAGCAAGATTAGGAGCGCACGCAGATGTGCAGATTTTTGGAGTCGTTCTCTTCTTTTCTGTTTTCTGTTTTCCTTCTTTTTGCTTACGTCCCCTTAATACCATGCATTTCAGGGGCTCGCCATCTGTAGTTCTCCTCAATGTTGTTTGTGTTTATGAAATATTTTGTTATAAAAATTGACGACGCATCAGTCAAACGGGCGTTTTCGTTTAACCGGTTTAATGAAATTTTACTTCATCTACAGTTTATTCTGTTAGCTTGTGATCGATTTCGTTCAACGGGACCATGATGAAACGATGTTGGGTTCGACTTTTACGAACTGCATTTTGTGTAGTGGGACACAAGATAAATAGGAGGTGGAGGTAAAGAAACAAAAAAGGTGGTTATTGTAGGTGCATTAGAAAATAAGAGGAGGCAGTGGTTTTCTTTTTCTCCTTTTGGGAGATTTCCGACTTATCATGACCCACCCGGGTTCAAACAGGTTCCGGGCGCGTCGCGACTTAATACGACTCACGGATTGAGACGAGCATTGCGTCACCGGTCGGCCTGCGCTCGGTACCAGTCATCCGAGTTCGAGTTCGCGGTCTACTGCTGTGGCGACGTTAACCACAGAAAGTTTAACGATATTCGGAGTACGGAAAGTGCTCTGAGCAGTGCCAACCCGTCCGCATGGCTCCGATAAACATTGGCGGCACGTACATGCTAAAGAATACCTGACAGCTTGTACTGGCCAAGAGTAAAGAAGGTTCACGCCGCTTAATTTTATCCGGTGTGCCATGTAGCATTGTTATTTGGAGCTAAAACGAACGCATACGTCTGAGCATCGCTCAGCGAAATCAAGAGAAAACATTTCGTGTTATTTTTAACAGACACAAAGAGGTTCAGTGTGTCATATATACAGTGATGTTTCATTATATATAGTACACTTCCGCTCTCTGAAAAAAAAAAAATCCATAATGTGAGTTGTCCATAATAACGTGACAATTATGCATGTAGTTACCTAGTTCGTCCTTGATAAGGTTGCCTATAATATATACAGCAAGGCATCCATATTAAAGGGCGTCTGTATTAACGAAGCACGACTGTACAGCCTCCATTTCTCTGCTCGAGTATTAATTCTACCGAGTTGGATCGAGCAAATGAAACCCAGTTTTTCAGGCCCGCATATATAAACTACGCTTTGAAGAAAGCCGAAATTCCGCGACAATGTGACGCTAGTGGTGGTGATAAAATGCGAAAGTTTGAGCACATGACGTTACCTGTATCCAAAAGATAAAAAAAAAGAAGAAAAAATTTTTCTATGAGCCGTGTAGTCCACCTATGCTTAATATTCATCACGCTCAAATTTGAGATTGTCGGCGTCTGTAGCATTTATTTCGGTGAAGAAACTTGTCAGTATTTCACTTTCTCAGTGAAATCAATACTACCGGCGCCAACAAATATCAAATTCCGGTTGAATGAATATCATCAGCCTTGGGTGGACGTCGGCTCATAAAAAAATGTTGTTTATATTTTGTATCTTTTCATCCCATTAACAGTATCTGCTCAAACTTTTACACTTTATCACCACCCCTCGCATCGCATTCTCACGGAGTTAGAGCTTTCTGCGCTTCGTAGTTTATCTATGCGAACCGAAAAGCCGGGTTTCATTTTATCGATTCAACCCGGCACATCTCTGCCTCCAAACATGTATTTGCATCATTTAAAAATGTTCTTTATGAGGAGGAGTTATAGAAACCTATGTTGTATCGGGCTGTGCTAGCATGAGACTTAGATTAGAAAAATAAAAAGTTACGCGGTACGTTTCATTGTTCGCCATGACTGCTACGTGTCGTTCCTGATTTAATGGCATGTCCACCAGTCTGTGGATATGTTTGTTAATTACGAACATTTTAAGCGTGTAGTTGAGACGCTCTTATACACACAGCTACCATATCGTTTTAAACCTTTTTATAAGATTCTATGCCTGGATGTATGCATGTTGTTATAAATGTATAACTGTTTGTGAGCATGCTATATTTTGTACTCAAGTCTCTCATATAAATATTTCGGTCGTTTTGAGGCACGAATAACAAACAAAAAAGTTGTGCGGTTCATCGTTGGCTTTTATCATTAGAAACGTGGCTTTGCTTCGGCGTAGTGTCCAGATCCAAACAATCGTCGTGCGATAACGTTCACAGGTTGGAAGTTGGAGCTGAGCGCTTCGAATGCTCAAGCGTTGTACGGACGCGGACCACGCCTGACGAAACTGTTTTGGTCTTACGCGCCCTTATATCTCGCGCAGCATCATGCTTCCGAGAAATTCGCTACGCTGGTTGCACCGCGCCGTCAGAACCCCTCTTCAAACGCGAATGTTGCAATCGCTCCATTTCCTAACTGATCTGCTACTACATGTGCGCCGGACATGCGGTTGAACACAATTGATCTGATGGTCAGAAGCGACGAGCCAATCGCGAAAATATCACAAATATAACAACAACATACACACAAAAAAAAAACAATGCATTGAAGTCGACCGATTGCGAACGACGCTGCTGACCTTTAAGGCGAGCAGTAAGGAGAGCGCAAGGCATTGCGTCTAAAGTAAGTAATACTTTCCTTGTGAGAACAATCTCTGGTAAGCCTCGGACTGTCGCCGATTAGTTAGAGTAAGATCTAACGTACAATTCTTGTTTTTCGTATCTGCGGATGTATGTGTACGTATCAGGCGCAGGAAGCTCGAGCTCGCATTCGCCTTCGCCAGCGGCTCGGACAACGGAATTGTTGCCTTGCCGGCCCTACAGAAAAAGCCGCGAGCGCAACAGCTTGCGCCAGCGCTTTCGCTGGGCTTGCGCGTCCCCCGCACAGACTCTTCGGGTATTTATTTGCTGTTGTTGTTTTCGCATATTTTCCCCCGGCCAGATGACCGCACTGCGCGCGATGCCCGCCCCTCGCTGCGTTGGCTCCTCCCCACGCTTGGCCGCGCTGCGGGAAAGCACGCTTTGCGGGGTGCTACTCGCAAAGTCGCGCCCTTGAAACGCGGTGCCCGCGGTCCGTTGACCCTGCAAGAGTTGTCTCCGCTCGTGTCCAGCGGCAGCGTCCTTCGAGGGCCCGCGTGCGGCGGCCGCTTCATCCGTCAGCGGCGTCGGTCCAACGGAGAGGTTGGGCTGACGGGCCGAGGCAGCAGCTGCCTGCGTCAGCACGGAAGGGCGGGCGTCGGGCCCAGACTTGTGGCTCGGCCCCCATTTGGCGGAGCGCGAGTCACGCGGTCCGTGTGTGTAAGGCTTTCTGCAGCGTCCCCAAGTTGTTATGGTCGCCTGGGTCGTGTCGCCGCGTGCCGGCACGTGAGCCCGGGCCGCATCGATCGTAGCGTCGTCCGTGTCGTCCGACCACGGGGCGTGACGTCCGTTTAGACGTCACCCGCCCAAATCGATGGGTGACGTCACGGCTCGTCCACGTCCTCCTTGCGCTTCCCCATTCAGCGCCCCGGGGACGTCACAGGAACGCTCCGGATTGGAGGCGTGACGTCAGGACCCTGCATTACGTCACGACCGCTCCCTTTCGCCTCACGGCCACTATAAAGGCAGCCCGGCTGGCGTTGCGGCCGGATTTTGACGCGAGGTTGCCGTGTGGTCGAGCTCATCCATGCCGAGGGCGACTACTCCGGACTGCGGGTCAGCACGGGAGAGAAGGTTTCTGCTCTGGCTTTAGGCGCCACCTCATGCTGCGCCTTCCCGTCTAGAAACACGGGGCACACTCCACTCAGGATCAGCAACCAGTGAGTAGGGACCACCACTATTGTTCTGGTACCCGGGGCGACAACCACGCGCGGGGCCAGCGGGGGCCTCGCCTCAAGGGCTCCCGGCAACCCTTCCGCGAGCTGTCGTCCGCGGGACTTCCCTTATTCCCCCGTCGGACGAGCTGCGGGGCGCCAGTCGGCCCGCAGTTCAGCCGACCTCTTCCGCCCCGGTGTTTTTCCTTGTCCCGCTGCGTCCGACATCGCTGCTGGACTGTTTTATGCCGAGTGCTCAAGTTGCGTCATGTGCTCAAGTTGGCTCGCTGCCGTGGCGCTTTATTTGCCGCGTATCACTGTGATCGTGTACAAATGTTCAATTTTTGGTGTGACTGCGCTATTTTGGTTGTCTGGGCGTTCTAAACCTTGTACACGTATTCAAACTATCGAGTGCTTCCATCCGCGAACCCCAATTGAATCGGGTCCCGCGCTGGCCGGCGCTGCGGAGGAATGCCGGGCAGCTGTTCTGGCGCTGGGCCACCGATGCCACGGGACTGGAGCGCCGCGGCGCCCGTCTGACGTCATATTAACGTCATCTTGACGTCACGCGGGCATGCCGGGAACGGGACCGTCAGAGTCGCAAATAATAGCGCAGCGCCCAGCGTGACGTCAGCGGACCCTTCGATCCGGTTATTTCGGGCGGTCCGGGGCTCATCAGAAACCCGGCTGTGACGTGCGACCCAGTTTCGTAGCGGCCCCCGCGCTCGTCGCTGCGGCCGCCCCTTCCCACCCGGCCTCCTTCGTCTCCTTCCCCGCGCGAAGCCCTGAGCTCCGCAGTCGCTGCGGAGGGCCCCACGCACTGCACGGCCCGGGTCCGCCTCTCCGTAGTGCTGTGCGGTTTTCGCTTTGGAAGAAGCAGTGACCTTGACCTTGAAAGTTTTCAATGCCCGACACTTTGGGATTACTTGGAGTCCGCTCGAGCACAACATAAATTTATTCTGAGCTATGCTTGTTTCACGGGAGTTATGGCTTATAAATTGCTGATGCAGCGCGCAAAAAGTGCAAGGACAGAGATTAGGCAGTATACAAGACGAGCGCGCTGTATCCTCACTTTTTATTAATGAAACAACTTGCCTGCATTGCCACTTTTTGAGTTAGATCTCCAGTGAGCCGATTGCAGCAACGGATAGAAGCACGTGACTGCTCGTCGCAGGATGAGTGCGCTCCAGGTACATACCCAATCACGTGCCATGCTACAATTGACTTACGGGAGCGTTAGCTTAAACTTTATGCCTGCCAAATTATACGGAAATAGAGTATACCAATGGCCATTGAGACTTGCTACTCTCTATAGTTGTAAGGCCACATCGTTTTTGTTTTTTTTTTTTGTTTTGTTTTGTTTGCTTACAAATCTTGTGGTTTCGCCTTATCTAGTTATGCTTCCTTGCTGGCTAATTTCCGTTAAAGTTTCGTTTATACCCCTATGTAATATCGAAGAGCGCATTCTGGGACCTGGGCAACACTATGAGTACACCAGCGATACAGTTTCAGGCTGGCGATGGCACGCTATTATTAGCGTTGCGTAGGCGTATCGGTTAGTGTTTAGTGTCAGTGTCGACTAGAGTCTAACTTATCATGCATATGTAATTGTGAAGCCGTGGTTCTAGATCGTACCCGCCAATGTGTTCTTTTCAATGTACGTACATTGGTTCAAGGCTACAATTCTTTTTTCGCACGCCCTAAAGTTTACAGGGCACGGCGTCCGTGCATGACAGCGTCTTCGAGTGAACCTAACACTACGCTTACGGAATAGCGTTGATCTTGCTGATACATCTACAAGCATCTACGTAGTGGTTCCATATGGTGTTAAACTTCGAATTGATCGATCGTCCGGGAGCGTCAAAAAGCAAACTCCTCTATTACTAGGTATACTCCTGGATAAACTGCTGTTATAATTCTGTCTCCATCTTTGACAGTGCAAAAGGACACACGCTTCAATTATCGTAGGTGGTAGTCAGGATAGATCTACTTCTTTTCATCGGTGTCTCGAAAGCACGCTGAGTCGGGTCCGTCCATTCACACTAAAGGCGGAGAAACGCGCGTGTGTCTAACATTTTTTTTTTTTTAATGCGCAAGTTCTAGACGTTTAAACGAGTTTCCGGGATGCCCCTTTTTGTGTTTGTTGATAAACCATCAGATTTAAGATAAGAGAAGGAAATAGAAATCAGCTACAAAATAAAAATTATATTTATTTATTTATTTATTTTTCTAGCAGCGAGCGAAGCCAGGTTGGGTGCATCGACGTCACCTCCGTGTGAAGATATAATAGAATGGATTATGAGATAACTTATTCATCATCACTTAATGAGTAAAGATAACAGCGGCGTGACAAAGCCCTCTATGGATATATTTGTTAAACATTATGTGAGCTTGTAATGGAGAGTTCCCGGGTTCGATACTCGGACCAGGCGGATTTTTTCGGTCGCTCACCAGCCACCTAACTGTGTTTGGAGATTTATGTTTGTCCCTTGTCCCTCTTGTTCCCCTTCTCCAGGGATTATTTTCATCATTATGTGAGCGTACGATAATGTGAGCCAGGAAAACCTCTGAAACCAGCTGAAGGGCTATAATTTAGAAGAAATTTTGGTTAGGTTTCTATACCAGGTACACACAGATAATAAGTTAGTTATAACACGGGTGGCGGAAACTACACAACCAGCAGCAGTAAAAACAGGGTTCAGGCAGGGCTCTCCACTTTCACAACTTCTCTTCATAATATACCTCATCGGAATAGGTAAAAAAAGGTTAGAACCAAACAAATCAGAGTTTCATGTGGCTTGGGGGGAAGCGGATACAAGCAAACAAAGTGCTATACAAGATGTGTGTCTGCAGGCGAGATTGCTGCAGGCACAAATGGGCTATGTGCCCGCAAGTCCCCTATATGCCTGCACTAAGTCGGATATGTGAGGAGAAAGGGGACACGTTGAGTTTTAATAGTGACAAGCTTGGAGTATTGATGTTTATTGACGAGAAGAGGGGTCCCCTGAGAAATACGTGACAGTGTAATAGGCCAGGTAGAAAAGTAAAGAAAAGGAACTGAAGAAAATGTTATTAGAAAAAGGAAAAGGACTTCATCTATTATAAAACTCGAGGCATCATAGAATTATATAATGAATAAGAAGTAGGTAGTGGTATATCAAAATAAGTGATAATGCCAGGATTCTCTTTTGGTAATAGGGTGCTGTGCTTGAGGTCAGAGGTTCAATCACACTTAGAAATTCGACAAAGGAGAGCACACAGATTGGGACTGGGAGCGTAGGGGAAAACACTAAACGAGGGAGTAAAGGGAGACATAGGCTGGTCCTCCTTTGAGAGCAGAGAGGCAATTATGAAACTGAAATTTTAACAAGAGTTGACTGAAATGGTGGATAGGCTGTGGTGACGGGAAGTATCCGAGTACGTGTACATAAAAAGTGTAAACGCAAAACGTATAAACCGAAACCGAAAGCTCCTATTTAAGTACCCACAGGCTAGTGATGGGACCGAGCAGACTAGTTCAGTGAAAAATAGACTAAAAGAAAAAAAAAAGGAAAAATATGGGAGGAAAGAATGTAAGGGAAATCAGCCTTGGCCATGTACAGATCACGAAAGCACGATTTAAGATGTGTATAGGAGTTTGATCATTCACGGGGGAGCTCTTTACAATTTTGAGCTAGTATGCGAGTGCTCACAAAAAATACATATAGGGCTAAATATCAACAGATAGACAAAATGTGTGCCTTATGCCATAGTGACAGGAAGACGATAGAGCATGTGGTTCAAGAGTGCCCTCCCAGCGGGGTTAACGGATTTGGCAAAAGCGCTGAGTTTTGCTGGCGAGGATGAAAGAACGGAGGAAAGAGTGATTATATAATTCCAAAGAAAAGGATAGAAGGTTAGTGTAAAATTTATAAAGAAGCGTCATGTTACGCACAGTTTGTGGGTTTAAAGCAAAAGCGAAATTTAGAGCAAATTTTAAAAGGAATGGGTTTAACTGTTTACACACTAAATGGCACAAGCTACCGCACGATACTAAAGGTCTAGCCACCACCCTCCATCCATCCGTTTATTTATCTACCATCCTTCAGTGTCCCTGCAGCTCCGAGTGAAATAATTTATACTCATGGTTATCGGAAATATATTGCAGTGTAGTTATCCAGCTGCAAATAGCTTGATAAATATTATGTGTTTTTAACTCTGTTTTTTATCATTTTACGATAGACATCATACCCTCATTGAAGGCACTGCCCATCACGTCTCGTTCACGGTGCGTTCTGGTATGATTGATTCCAGTAGCATGAATTTTTCCTCTCGTGTTCGTGCAGTATTTCCACAAAAGAGTACTCGTCAAAGTTCCATTCAGTGCGAAATTTGGTTTGGGTTAGCTCCAGTTTCGCTTCGTTATGATTACAGTGCAGATCAGGATGCTCGAATATTTATCGGCGATCCGCAACTTTATTTAAATGTACCTCAACAGTCTCCAAACACTGGTTTCCTTCTTTTTTTTTACGGCGATAAGGATACGCATGAAGGTGTGCATGGATCGCTATTTTCCGTTTGACACGATACGAACCACCTTGCAAAAACCCCAAGCACAAGCGGGTATATGCGGATATAAAATTTAGATTCTTCTTGCGAGTGCGCTCGTGCAGCCAGAGTACTTACCCAGGCCACCCGCTCGTACACATAGCACTCCCAACGCGGTATAGGTACGTCGCACTTGGAACGAAGTGCAGCTTGGCGTTACCCATCCTAGTGCCTTCTTCACTTAGTTCAATTATAAACTGTACAGCATATTCGACACTGCCACGATAATACAACAAATGTTCCTAAAACTTTCCATCGCTGTTTGACACTCAATAAAGAACTCCTCAATATCACAGATGCGGTGCACTGGTCACAGCATCTTGAAATTAGATCCGAGTACTGTCTAGAATTCAGCATGTTGATTTGTAGAGCCCTGCGCGGATAACTGTTTGATCATCCGCATCCGAAGGCTTTGCATCTGCATCCGAACCGCATCTGGTAGATATGCAGCCCCCTCCGACCCGCAATACGCGCATTCATTTTATATTAAAAAATCAGTCGTGAATGAAGAAAATAAGCGCCTGGATGGTACCTAATCAGCCGTTTGCTTATTTTTGTACGGTGAGTCCTTTATCGTATTCTGTTTTATCATATCCATATTATAAGCGATCGTTCTTCCAGAGACACTTCGTTCTTCCAGAAAGAAACGCGAACCTGCAACTGCGTGCTTCGAACCACATTCATAGCAGGAACTTGCCGATTGTTGAGGGAAGAAACGCGCGCGCACACACACTCCAAGTTTCACTTGTCGACGAAGCTTCTACCTTCTTGTGGCCTGCACGTTTTTGGGGTTTACTTTGCCTAAAGAACTTTTTCGCTCTTTTCCTGCCAAGCATGAACACGTTTTCCAGGGATAATTGATGCCCCTGCATTTTTTTTACTTTTTTTTTTTCTGGCGACAGCATTTTTGGCAAGATAGAACGCTCTAAAGCGATCTATCGTGAGATTCGTGTCTTTCTTGGCGTAAGGAACAATTTTTTCCCCGACTGGCAATTTTGTTTCTGAGAGAATAATGTGCTTTTGCAGAACATTCGATGATGCACTTCCTATTATCACTCATTTATTCACTCTACAGTTTGCGGTCGCATACGTTTCTAGGCCGCCTCGGCAAAAATGTAGACCCGGACCCCGCGGATGTCCGCATCCGCTCCGTGTCCGCAGACCCTGGCACCCGCATCCGATCCCCAATCGGCCAAATCTGATTCACTTTTGTCCGCATCCGCCAGTTTTCTGCGAATATCCGTGGATAATCTGCGGGTTATCCGCGGATATGCCGGGCTCTAGTTATTCGGAGGTGACAAGAAGCGGGAATAAAAAAGCAGGACGCTGCTCACAGGTACCGGGCTTTATGTTATTTATCCTCCGCTTCAGCATGCGAATCCCTTCCCCCTCTCCCAATTGTTTTTTACCATGATACTTTTTTATGTATCCCTCGAAAACAAGCAATCAATATAGGCGACCGCACAGTCTATAACGACGCTTTTTTTACGCCATGGTCCGAAAGACATGGTGCGCGCAGAATCACGCAAGGGGGCAGGGTATACCCGCCATAGAGTTACCACTCGACCGCCTCGTCTCGAATATCTTAACAAAACTGTTCAGACTCCCCAACAAGCAACCAACAAACGAGTCGGTAAACGAACGGTGCTTCTGTAGTGTTTTTCTTCTTTTTTTTCTTTTTTTTTTCTTTTTTTTTTTTGTATTTGCGAGCAGAGCATAGATTTTGCATTCACCCGAGAATCCTACAGATTTAAATTGCGCACGCGCGTTCGGCACTGTACAGATTTTTCTCAGTTCAATTCCGATCCATTGTCTATGCTAGGGGAGCACGAAGCAACGTCGAAGACCTAACGCATCATTCGAGCGAGCTGCGTTTCCAATGCAGAACTCCTTTTCGTATTCGACAGACGCGTTCGAACCGAACAATGCGGCAACACCAGAATTGACGGCGCCCGACGCGCGATTCAGGAGGCGTTTCCCAAAGTCAGTCCCGCGTCAGCCCCGATGAAACCAGTTGACTGGAAAAGAGAGCAGAACTCCGTTCCGAGACGATTCCCGCCGCCGTTGGGCTCGGATCACATGGCCGACATGTGCGCTGCCTCGATTAATAAGCTTCAAGATGCGACCGAAATCCTCGACAAATTTGCTCTCGCTTGCCAGTTATCGCGGGAGCATTATGTGACTCGCACGATAGCGGCTATCGGCGGCCACGATTGCGGGCCTCTCGTGCACCGATAAAGGCCGTTCGAGGGCCTTTCGGCCCCACGCAGTCTGCCTCTAGTCGGCGTTGCGCCGGATACCCGCTGCCTCAGGTCGCTCCGACCGTCGTCACGTCGTCGCTTGTCATCGCCGCCTCGGCACTAGCGGCTGCGTCCGCCGTCGAGGGACACTCTCGCTGGTGTGGAACGCGGCCCAGTGGCCAGGTGATGCCTTTGGAATCCCCGGATCCGTGTGGTCTGTCCGTGGTCTGTACGCCTTTTGAAAGGCTTGCAAACCTCGTGAGCCTCTGTTATTTTTTTTGACGTATTTTATATCGCTTTCTGTTAGACCGGGAGGTCTAGGCAACCTGTTTATAAGACTTGTGTGTAGCAGAGAAGCTTATATTTCTTCTTGATAAAAGCAAACACGTTACGGTGTTTTTGTTTGTTTGTTGGAATTTTGGTAGAGTGTTATAAACGACAGTCATTTGATTGTTCATATTTGATGCGGACATGTTCACAAGGCAAGTTGACTGTCGCTAAAAATTGTCCACTGAACTGTGCATTATTAAGACGCAACTATACATAGTTTTATATGTTGCGGTTTGACGGCAGATATTCTGCTACCGAAATAGGTTTCATAACTACATCCCGGAAGGCGGAAGTCAACCTAGGCCGGGTATCTTTGCCGCTTCTTTCTTTCGCGGGTATTACTTAACACTTAATGTGGCAAGATATATTAACAGATGCGTCCTGCTTTAGTGTACGTTGTTTCTCAACTGACGTCTAGAGAAAACCAATTGTGTAATAAACCTCCGTCCGGGCATTTTCTGCCGCTCTATGTAACTCCTACTCGATGAGATAATTGCACGCGCTCTGAATTTTAATGTAACTATCGTAGTGTAACAGAATATTGCGCAACAACTAAACCGATAGAGAAATACTATCCGTTCATTTTCCAACGCACGAGGCCCCGCGGATCTCAGCTGGGAAGCCTTTCTTTGGCGGCGTTGTTTTTCTGCGCGTACCACAGCAGGCATTGTCAGCAGAGCTTTGCGGCAATCGGAGAGGCGCCCCCGATTCCTCATTCCCGCAAAGAATATGTCAAACAGAAAGGCGCTTTGCTGCGTTAAGACAGAAGCTCGTCCCTGAGCTAGGTTCTACCAGACACGGTGCTCTGACTCCAAGTCGCGCGACTCCCTGCACGTTCCAAACAGTATACATGTTGGACGTCATCTTCTGTGCAGCCCTCGCGGTGTCTGAACCAGAAGACCAGCCCAGCCCGAGTGCAGCTGATAGCACAGCGGGATCGGAACTCAGCACGGAGCTCGGGTCTGCAACCCAGGCTCAGGCGTCGCTCACCACTGAACCTTCAGAAGCCATGCTGCTCCTTGAATCCCCTCAGGTAGGATGGCCTGAAGACCACTTCCTGTAGTCCCGGACGGCTTGAGAACGGCAGCGTGGGAAAATTTACGGCGGCGTTTGTCGCTTGCCGATTTGTTTCTCGTCGTTCTTTTAGTGGGATACTGTGGTCTCATAGACACACCAGTTGAAAATGAGGTGGTTAGGGATGATCGCGCGCTGTCCTTCTTGCGCTGTCAGGGACTTCATAACACCCCGTATACCCGAGAGCTGAACACGCGCAAACAAAATATCATGTTCTACGCGATAACACGACAGCTAAGCGCCAAACACATGGTTGACGTAACGGCCCCGTCGTACATACCGGTAGGAATGGAATTATGTCCGGTTATGGACCTCCGATTTTCTTCCTGTGTGCAGTGTACACAGTGGCAATCTATAACTTTCTGACGAGTGTTTTTGCTGTTGTTGTTGTTTTGCTGGATTTCGAATGCAAGAATTTCGTTTTGTTCAAAACAAAAAAAAAATTAAACGAAACTTAAAGCTGGTTCACACATTTCTGACGGTTGCGTTCACAACAACCCAAACGACAGAAGCGACCAGAAGACCGGGATAACTGTGATGATGGTTGCTTAGTGAAGCTACCTTTCGCACTGTTCGCCACGTTGTGTACGGCGAACACTTGTCCGTGTGAAGACATGTCACATATTTTCCGAGCATGTTGCTTTAATATCTGTCAGTACGGCGCCTGCTCCCAAACGTCTTTTGGGGCGCAATACTAAATTTAAGCTACGCTCAGACGCGCTATGAGACTGAAACACGGCACAGTCTCGAGTTGTCGTGCTCGACATTGTACAAGTTGCAGTCTCGCGGCGTAGCCGAGAATCGTGTTAAACGAAGCTTTGCTTCCCGAGCCCATCACGAATTTAAACGCGCGTACTGTCAAACATACCGTCCGCTATTCATTCGTACTGGAGAAACATACGTACTTCTTAGCTATTGAACACTCAGAACATGCTTAGTCACGCTGTCCTGCCGAGCATACGTTCTGTAGTTTTCACTCGATCTGGAGAGGTCCGTCACATTCGTCATGGTCCGGGAAGCGTGCTTCGTTCGTTTCAAACGTGAATGATGGCTGCTCCAGCGCGTGTCAAGGCAGAGTGATCCATGGCTTGCCAAAGAGTAGACCCAGGGGCTAGCTTGCTTTTCTTCATAGTGTTTATACGTCCGAAAGCACGGGACGTGTCAAGATTCGCCCGGAAAGGAGCTCTGTGCAATATGGCTCGCACGGATCTCCCGGAAGGCTCTGCGGGAACAAAAGAGCCCGCAACGTTGATATTTCGCAATCGGCAGGTTTTCGCCCCGTCGTTCGAGTAGCAGATGGGAAGTCTGTTTTCGTACCACCGTTTAAGTCGGCGAAGCTGCGAGACACGTCAGGTTGGCGGAGACGAGCTCATACTGTACCAAAGGGGGGAGGGAGAGCACGGCTAGAGAAAGAGCAATAAATTGTGTCACATAATGGCGTACTGTAAAACCCTTAATGATTATTATTCGCAAGCCCCTAGTTTTCGCGAATTTCGGCAATCGGAAAACTTCGCGCATTTTACGGGCACGTAAATAGTTTTGTTTTCTAGAGGGGCAAATTCCAGCCTATAGAATTCACTAAATTAAATGGTCGCGAATAGATGACCCCGCTTCTTCAATTTGAAAGAAAGTTCGGGCCACGAAAATGAAGGGTTTTACAGTATGTGCGCCAAATAATGAATGTGGTACGCTAGAAATCCTCGCAACTATCGCACTGTTGATTTCCATTTTTGTTCCAAGGATCGTTTTCGTCTGCCATCAAGTTTGGTTCAAATCGAGCATCGCGAATTCCAGAGGACTCGGTGAATACAGTGTTGCCGTCTATATTTTTTTTTAATGATTCTTGACGTGCGTGCGAGGTTATTGTGTCTCCTTCGTCTATCGAAACCATTTCAAGGCCTCCACTCAATGCGCAGTGGCTTATGAACGACGCAAGAACCAGAACCATGTGTTGCGGGTGTAGCATATGTTGTTTTAATCGCACGTGGGTGCAGCTTTCATTCTGCGAGATTATTTTTATTTCTTTCATTCTTTTCGTTTTCCGGAAGAATCCGTTCGTACCTCTCTGCGCTGTGTACACCGGTGTTGGCTTCACACTGCACTATACTTCACTTTTTGCTCTCTCTCTCTCTCTTTCTGTTTCCCTTTCTTTCTTCCTGATTCTGCGTGAATATCTTTGTTTGCATTGCTTCGTTTAACCCCTTTGCCGCTTTTTTTTTTTTTGCCGTTTTTGACAATGAACTGCTTTTTTTTTACATTTTTATTGCACGTGCAGCCCGGGCCTCACGTGTCTTCGCCACTGGTACGCATTTAAAAAAATCCATCGAGCGAGCGAGGGTGAGCGGACCAGCTACACTCGTCCTAAACGGTTTGGGGACGGCTCTGGCGGACAACCTAAGCTTATCCAAAATGATTAAGGGGATAAGGGAATTAAATAATCGGTTTAACTCAAAAACCTTTTTTTTGTGTGTGTGTTGTTCGAATATATCTAGACCTTGCTTAATCTATACGAATGCTTTCACTCTAGAAACCAGTCATTTATATACACACACCCCTAACACCCGCCTACCCCAAACCCCGTAATGTAACCCGCCGTTAGATTGGCATTCCGGGCAAACCCATAAGAGAAACGTTTACTGTGTTTTGAATACTAGATAGCAGAAAAGAGCGGAATCAGCTGAGTGGGAAAACAACTAAACTAAGGCACGTACACGTAAACGGGTCTCTTTTATAACAAGGTGATGTGAAACGGGCATCTTTAATACGGTCAGCGAGTGTTCCAAAAGGCGCTTTTTCGTGCATCGTAAGGCAAGGAGGGTCATGCCAATCAAAGGGAAACGTAGAGGACGCCCATGGAATGCACGATGACGAGGCAGCCAAACGCGAGCCGTCATTGGTTGAGGTCGGGGGGAAACAAACGCACGAGCTGCGCAGAGAGCACACGACCTTGCAGGCCGTATATACCTCTTTCCCACGCGACGGACGTGGGTGTTCGTGAATAAACTGTAAATGCTGCCTGTAATGGAAATTTATTAATTTTTTTTGCTTTTCTTATTTTATCGCAGTACCTTTTCTTGTAGGCGCCGAGAAATCGCCATATTATTTCCTCAGCAAATCGCCGGGCAGCCGATAAGATTGCAGCGCGTTTGCCGATGAAAACGTCGAAAGACCAATCACGAAGCAATGCGGAGTGCGAGTTCGTCCGCTTTTTTTTTGCAGGGGTATAGCGACGTCAGAACACCGAGCTGTGATTGGCTCTGATCGAAAGATAGTGGCTAGACCTCAAGGCAGCTTGCTTTGGCGTCTACCCACTATCCAACGGTGAAAGCCAATTAGAAATCCGCGTTGTTCTGACGTCACCCGAACCCCAATGTAAGAAGCAGACGACTTGGTCTCCGCATAAGCCCGGAGATAATAGGCTGCATCCTGCATTCCTTATGGCTGTCCGCGACTCCACTATGCGTTCCCCCCTTAAGCTGAGACTGGTATGGGAGGGCTCGCCGGACCAATCAACCGTCTCCCTGCCATTAGCCGACCCCGCTCTCTGCGGCTAAATATTGGGCGGGAGCGTGATCACGTGGCCAAAGATAGCCGTATGATTGGTCCAACGAGCGTGTAGCTTCCACTGCACGTCAGCTTAGAATTGAACGGACTACATGTGAGGGAGCTCGGCACTCGACTTGACGTGAGCGTATGAAACGTCTTTCTCGGTGTTGCATCGCAAACTTCAGTTCTCAAAAAAAGAAAAAAGAACTTTTTGTAAGGCTTTGTTTTTTTTTGAGTGGTCATATGACTGATCGCACTGATGGGGCCCTGGAAATACTCTGCGGGAAAGTAGACTTACGGGCATTGTCCGCTGTATGCCTCATGCTCGACGGGGCGTACTTTGCCAACCCCGTTTATTTCGGTATCTCTAGGTACCAATCGGGATCCGGTCGCGAATCGCCGAAGGCCGTCATAATTTAGCTACGCCCTTCTGTTCTCAAACTGTCAATAAGTGCAGTCAATGACAGCCTGCGAAACACTGCATTGGGCAAGAGCCCTTATATCACATTGTTATTAGCGAGTTTTAAAATAACGCGTGCGCAAAAACTTCAAAGAAACGGCGTCGTCATCATGCGCCTATCCAAAACGAGGTTTGAGCTCGGCGCATGGGCAGTGGCAACGCCGCTATTTCTTTGGGTACGGAAAGCTTTCGGCGTATACGCTATTCTAAAACTCGCTTTTAACCGGGAACATGTAGGCAGCTGCATCATTCGACCAAAACGTTGAGCGGGATACCAATTGTGGAGTGAGGCATATAATTATACACGGTAGTCAGTTTTAGAATAGCGTACCCCGAAGAAACAGCGTCGTCCTGTGCGTGCACCGAACCCAAACTGCGATTTCAGTTTTGGGCGCGTACGCTATTTTTCGAGAACAGCGTGGATACCACGCTGTTCTCACCAAACCAACGAAGGGCATCTGGCTAGACTCAGCGAAGGATTTAGACCACCCGGGGATCTGTAAAGGTGCAATCTAACAGTTACCTACGCAGTGCCTCCTCTACAGTACCCTTCTGTAGGGTCCGATCGAGAAAGATAAACCCCGCATAAATACACTACACTTCGGAGAAAGATGAAACTCAGTGATAAAGTGACTCTAGTGGTGGTGATCAAGTACGAATATTTAAGCACCAGTAGGTTCCTTGATTTAAAAAAAAAACACGAAAGAAAAACAAAAATTCTTTATGGGCCGATATCCATCTCAGGCTAATTTTCATCAAATTGAAATTTGACATTGTGGGCGCGTGTAGCAGTTATGTCAGCAAATAAAGTTGCCAGCAAAAGAAAATGAAAGGCGTTTACAAATGTCTTTAATGCGAAACTAGAGCACAGCTCTTGAGGAAGAAGAGGGGAGGGTATGCCCCTCCTCCATCGTGCCCTCCTCCTCTCCCCTTCTACTCCTCCTTTCCTCCAT